ATATAAACTCAGAAATCCAAGAAAAAAGTAAAAATTATGAGATATAAACTCAGAAATTCAAGACAAAATGTAAAAATGACGACATATAAACTCAGAAATCCAAGAAAAAGTAAAAATTACAAGATATAAACTCAGAAATCCAAGAAAAAAGTAAAAATTATGAGATATAAACTCAGAAATTCAAGACAAAATGTAAAAATGACGACGTATAAACTCAGAAATCCAAGAAAAAGTAAAAATTACAAGATATAAACTCAGAAATCCAAGAAAAAAGTAAAAATTATGAGATATAAACTCAGAAATTCAAGACAAAATGTAAAAATGACGACGTATAAACTCAGAAATCCAAGAAAAAGTAAAAATTACAAGATATAAACTCAGAAATCCAAGAAAAAAGTAAAAATGACGACATGTAAACTCAGAAATCCACGAATAAAGTAAAAATTACGAGATGTAAACTCAGAAGTCTAATCAGCATCTTGATATGCCAAGATGTAAACTCAGAAATCCAAGAAAAAAAGTAAAAATTACGAGATGTAAACTCAGAAATCCAAGAAAAAAGTAAAAATTATGAGATATAAACTCAGAAATCCAAGAAAAAGGTAAAAATTATGAGATATAAACTCAGAAATTCAAGACAAAATGTAAAAATGACGACATATAAACTCAGAAATCCAAGAAAAAGTAAAAATTACAAGATATAAACTCAGAAATCCAAGAAAAAAGTAAAAATTACGAGATATAAACTCAGAAATCCAAGTAAAAAGTAAAAATTATGAGATATAAACTCAGAAATTCAAGACAAAATGTAAAAATGACGACGTATAAACTCAGAAATCCAAGAAAAAGTAAAAATTACAAGATATAAACTCAGAAATCCAAGAAAAAAGTAAAAATTATGAGATATAAACTCAGAAATTCAAGACAAAATGTAAAAATTATGACATATAAACTCAGAAATCCAAGAAAAAGTAAAAATTACAAGATATAAACTCAGAAATCCAAGAAAAAAGTAAAAATTACGAGATATAAACTCAGAAATCCAAGTAAAAAGTAAAAATTATGAGATATAAACTCAGAAATTCAAGACAAAATGTAAAAATTATGACGTATAAACTCAGAAATCCAAGAAAAAGTAAAAATTACAAGATATAAACTCAGAAATCCAAGAAAAAAGTAAAAATGACGACATGTAAACTCAGAAATCCACGAATAAAGTAAAAATTACGAGATGTAAACTCAGAATTCTTAGAAAAAAGTAAAAATTACGAGATGTAAACTCAGAAATACAAGAAAGAAGTCAAAATTATGAGATGTATACTCAATTGCTGTTGATTGGAATGGATTGAAGTTTATATAAGATCTAAACTCGCAGTAGTGATGAAAAAAAATCTGATTTGTGAGCTAAAAAGTTGCAATACCTTTTGTCAGGCCCGGATTGGCTAATCGGGAGCACCGGGAGGATTCCTAGTGGGCCGGTCTGTTTGTTTTGGCCTCGAGGGCCGGTGTTGTCATGCCACTGGGTTGAATTATGGATGCTGTCCCTAGACTGCCTGCACTCATAGCAGCCCCACTCTTTTATTTATTATTTTCTCGCAGCCCATATTATTATTTTCACCAGACCATATCAATAACAAATTCTCAATTGATAATTAATCATTCTTTTTGCTCAAATCATTGTTTTATTTGTGAAGTAGCCGTTTGAGGAAGGCGGACTCCTCTGCTGTGCAGCGGGACTCGCGTTAACGGCAATTCCCTTCACAGTCCACGATTTGATTTTGCCAAATCAGTTAAACTTGGACCTCATTATTGAAGTAGCACCAGAAGCAGCCCACACTCCCGACGTTTTCTTTAATTGAAAAATATGCATTTTCATTCATTCAAAGGCTATATGGTTGCAATGATATTTTAGTTCAAAACTTTAAATGCCATTGTTAAAAATGCTTTATTGACTGACGTTTAATAGACCTTCAGTTGTTACACTTTCAGATTTCATGCCAGTTGTACACTTGTGAAGTCACAATTCTATATTGGAACTATTTACTCAGGCCGATGACATTTTTTATATGACTTAAAAATTATTTTTAGAATAATTGTACATGCATAGGTTAAGCAAAACAATTGTGATTATTTCTGAGAACATTTGAACTGCAGGCAGACAGCCTACATTATGGTACAGTAGGCTACAAATATTTGGAGCGTCCCTTATTCTGTCCCTTATTTTCTTAAAGAATTAACACTTATTTTCTACAAGAATACAAGAATAAACACTATTTTCTTAAAGAATAAACGATAAAGAATCACAATGGTCCCTTATCTTCCATTTCTGAAGTTAATTGATCCATATCAATAACAAATTCTCAATTGATAATTAATCATTATTTTTGCTCAAATCATTGTTTTATTTGTGAAGTAGCCGTTTGAGGAAGGCGGACTCCTCTGCTGCTCCCGCTGCACAGGGAGCGGGACTCGCGTTAACGGCAATTCCCTTCACAGTCCACGATTTGATTTTGCCAAATCAGTTAAACTTGGACCTCATTATTGAAGCAGCACCAGAAGCAGCCCACACTCCCTAAGTTTTCTTTAATTGAAAAATATGCATTTTCATTCATTCAAAGGCTATATGGTTGCAATGATATTTTAGTTCAAAACTTTAAATGCATTGTTAAAAATGCTTTATTGACTGACGTTTAATAGACCTTCAGTTGTTACACTTTCAGATTTCATGCCAGTTGTACACTTGTGAAGTCACAATTCTATATTGGAACTATTTACTCAGGCCGATGACATTTTTTATATGACTTAAAAATTATTTTTAGAATAATTGTACATACATAGGTTAAGCAAAACAATTGTGATTATTTCTGAGAACATTTGAACTGCAGGCAGACAGCCTACATTATGGTACAGTAGGCTACAAATATTTGGAGCGTCCCTTATTCTGTCCCTTATTTTCTTAAAGAATTAACACTTATTTTCTACAAGTATACAAGAATAAACACTATTTTCTTAAAGAATAAACGATAAAGAATCACAATTGTCCCTTATCTTCCATTTCTGAAGTTAATTGATGAATCTGATGACGTAATTATCTTTTGACTCCCCTGACAGCGGGATCAAGAAAAAAAAAAAAAGTCAGTTGTTGGAGATATGCGAGCAAAAAATAATAGATGAAAAATGGATAATAGAAAGTGCAAAGGCGGAACTGAAAAGGCAATTGTTAAAAATGCTTTATTGACTGACGTTTAATAGACCTTCAGTTGTTACACTTTCAGATTTCATGCCAGTTGTACACTTGTGAAGTCACAATTCTATATTGGAACTATTTACTCAGGCCGATGACATTTTTTATATGACTTAAAAATTATTTTTAGAATAATTGTACATACATAGGTTAAGCAAAACAATTGTGATTATTTCTGAGAACATTTGAACTGCAGGCAGACAGCCTACATTATGGTACAGTAGGCTACAAATATTTGGAGCGTCCCTTATTCTGTCCCTTATTTTCTTAAAGAATTAACACTTATTTTCTACAAGAATACAAGAATAAACACTATTTTCTTAAAGAATAAACGATAAAGAATCACAATGGTCCCTTATCTTCCATTTCTGAAGTTAATTGATGAATCTGATGACGTAATTATCTTTTGACTCCCCTGACAGCGGGATCAAGAAAAAAAAAAAAGTCAGTTGTTGGAGATATGCGAGCAAAAAATAATAGATGAAAAATGGATAATAGAAAGTGCAAAGGCGGCACTGAAAAGGCCAGTAAAAATAAATAAATAAAAAGTGGGCCAGTCTAAGGCATGAAACTCCAGGGCTGAAAATGAATGCCTTTTGTTATTGTTTTTATTCCGTGGCAGTTGTGTAAGAGTCCTGAGTCCTGACCGGAGTGTGTTTCCTCAGGTCTGTGGGCTTGTACCAGCGAGTGCAGGATCCTGGGTCACTCGGACAGATGCTGGAGCCCGTCTGTGAGCGTTAATAGCAGACATCTGTCGACCTTCTCAAGGACGAGGCCGTGCTCACAGGCCACGCTTCAGAGGAGCAGTTACGACACGCAGACCAACAGAAGCGTGGCCTTGCACAGCCTTACAGAAGACCAGCAGAGTCAGTACGATTACATTCACGTCTGCTCTCCACAGTCACAGCGGAGACAAGACTCGGAGAACATAGTCTTCACACACTCCACCAAACCCATCGCCACGGAGAGTCCCGGCAGATTTACTGAAGCCTGATACCATACACTGTTATATTGTTGCTGTACATACTATCATTGACTGCGTTGATGTTTTGTATATACAAAATATATTTTTATCAATATTACCTGTTGTTTTTTTCATAGCATGTTTTGGATGATTATAATGTGATTGTGTTTGCAAGTCACTTTTTTTGTCACACTGTAACACATTAAATGTCATTTTTTTAAAGCTACAAATGTTACTACTTTTATAATGTTTACTTACACAGGTTTCTTTTTAAGAAACGAAAACATGAGAAATAAAATAAGTTATGGTAAAATCTACAATGTTTTTCATCCTTGACAAAACCAGTCAGAATTTATGATCATAAAAACTGTTAAATCTTGCGCCGACAATTCAATTTTGTCATAAAATTTAAATTTGCATTATATTAAAAATGGATAATTGGATGAGTAACAATCTGTAACACATTAAATGTCATTTTTAAAAAGCTTTTAAACTTTTAAATATATATTTAATGTATGTTGCAGATTGTTACTCATCCAATTAATATTTTCTAATAGTAACTAATAATATTAACTTTTTAAGTTACCACTTTCATAACATTTACTTAAACTGAACAAGTTGTTTATTTATTTTTTAATAAAAACATTTAATTTATGGTCAAATTTACGTTTTGTCAAAACCAGTCAAACTTTTGAACATAATTTATTATCTTAAAACCTACTGATCTTAAGGCTCCTGACTTCATTTTTGATCATAAATATAAATTGTGCCTACAATTATTTTAGTCATAAAATGTACATTTATGTTGGATGAGTAACAAACTGAAACACACATTGGATTTCATTTTTTAAAAGCTAAAAAAGTTACCACTTTTATAACATTTACTTAGACTGAATAAGTTTTGTTGTGTGCTTTTGTCTTTTTTTATTAGTTCTTTAGTATGCTTGTATTATTATATTTGTATTGCACACTTTTAAAATCTATTTTTATTTCAGTTTTAGTTTTAGCTATTTTAGTACAAGTTAAACTAAATGAAAATAATAAATATTGCCCTTGCAAATAGCTGAAATTAAAAAATGAAAAAAGTATATATATATTTTTAATTATGGTTAACATTTATTTTGATTATTTTATTTTTATTTTATTATATTATTTCTATTATTAATATATATTTCAAGTAAACTGTTTTTAATGGTTTTAGTTTTAGTTTATCTCACACATGTTTCTCCTTCAAAAATGTTAGAAAGCATCCCATGATGCACCTGATGAAGCTGGTTGGCGAATGTTTATAGTGAGAAAAGCTTGACAAAGAAGAGTTTTCATGTGTGTCACATACTTTCATCACTGCAACATTTGTGTTATTTAATCAGTTAAATGTAATTCTAGCATATGCAAAAGAGTCATGAAAATGAGTTTTGTGACAGCTAGTGTTCATAAATGAGATCTTATACAGATCCAGCCTTAGTAAAACTAAAGGACCTTACTTGACTTTGTTGAATTTAATTATAAATGTTGCTTTCGAAAGCGTCCCCTGGATTTACTACAGTGAATTCAGGTATACCGGGTCTCTTTTTACCTGTTAATTTACACAAATTCAGTCAAACTGTGCATGAACAGTCTGAAGCGTGTTTTCTCAGGCCACAGAAAATCCCCAGAGAGGAATTCCAGTCTTGGGTTTCTCCAGGACCTTGTTTATTTTCTCTGAATTTTTCCTCTTTCTCACCTACATGACAGAAACTTGAGAGAAGATCCATGAAGTCACAAAGCTCTGCTTTCAGCAGACGCGAGAACGCCATGGAGAAAACATCCCAAAAAGTTCCTTTTGAGGTACGTGATGCTTTCATTTTTTATTTAAACTTCACATTATGCACATAATATACTTGATTTCTGTCTATATTCCAACAATATGTGCTTAATAAGGCTAACAGTAGCTTGAAGCACAGAGGCTTAGTGCGTCTGAAGAAGACGGCGGTCGTAGCCTTCATCGCCGGAGCCGTTCTGCTGCTCTTTGGAGGCATTGGAGCTTTTTACTTGTGGAAATTCAGCGAGAAAGAAGTAAGTGTCTCAGACCAGACAGTACAGTAGTCTAACCTAGTTTGGCTCAAAATGAGTGCAATATGAGAAGCAAGTTCCAACACAAAAATATTACTTCTATCAAATTCAGCCCACTAAAACTTGAGCTCCATAAAAGCAAACCAAAGTAGTGCCTGCAATAAAACGTTCATTATTGATGAAGTAAATCGAAGTGGAATGACAGAATTTATTGTGACGAGTTAACTGGATGGAAACTGTGTGATGATGAAACATTTTTACTATTTGTTCTTCTTGATGTGCAGCAAATTGTTCTGCGTTTTGGGTTTAATTTGCATGCATGCATTCGTCAGGGGTATTTTGTAACACTGCTATATTTAAAGTATACATTTTTAATATTCCGCATTGCACAATCACACAGTCAGTTTCTCTAAAATGCATGCTGATGCAATAGCGCAGACGTGTTGATATTTAAAGCACAGTAGGTTTGAGCCTGAATGAGAATATTTAAATTGCAGTTTGTCCCAGCAAAGGGTCAGGAATGATCAATGAAGCAAGCAGCGGCGTGTTTGCATTTGCAGCCGTCAGTGTGCATTGATTTCAGGCACCTCTGGTATTTCAAAAAAATCCGGCAGGTTAAAGACGGCAAACAACGAGGTCTGTGTGCTGGGTTATAATCATGCAGCGTTAACACTGCAAACAGATCAGCATGCATCACTTCCCAACACAAACACAAACGGCCAGTAAGAGCTGCAGCCGTAAGCTAGCGACCTGCTGGACCTCTGCACAAAATAATGCACCAATATTATACAGTATGTTTTATATGGATTAAATCAGTGATTCTCAACTACAGTAGGTTTGCTTCAGGACTCAGATTAAGTGGAGACCCAAAACTGATTAATGAACAAAAGAAAAAAAAATGTCACACATTACATTATTTATAATAAATGATTATTTTTTTGGAAGCATTTTCTCCTCCTTTTGACAAGTATGCACGATTATATTGTTAGTTTTATTATTTCTACTTAGCATCGTTTCTCCTTGATGAAAACCACTAGATTAAAATATGTAATATTTGTATGTTGCAGTGTTATTTTAGTATCATTGAGATACTACTACAGTTTTTAGTCATTTTGAATTAGTTTTTAGTTTTATATTTATTACTTTCATTTAAATGTTTGTAATTTTGTTGTGTGTTTTTGTAATTTTTTAGTAGTTTTAGTTTTTTTTAAATATCTATTTAGTTTTTATTTTCATTTTTATTTCAGTTTTAGTTACTATAGTAGTTAAACTAAATGAGAAATTTTGCCTTAGCAACTAGCTGAAATATTTTATTTTATTTTATTCATATTAATTTATTCATTTTAAAATTGGTTATTTTTAGAATTAATTTTGTTGTGTGTTTTGACATTTTTTTATTTTTAAAATATTAAAATATTATTTTTAATCTTAACATTTAAAATATATATATATATATTTTTTTTTAATTTCTTTTATAACAACAAGACACACAGTTTTTTAAATATATATATATAGTTTTTATAACATTTAATTTATGTTTTAGTTTTAGTTATTCTAGTATATCAAGTTAAACTAAGGTAAAATAAGAAATTATTGAAATAAACAGTTTTATATTTTATTTATATTCATTTTAATATTAGTTTTTTTTTTTTTACATTTATTTTGTTATGTGTTTTTGTCATTTTTATCATTATTATTGTTTAGTCTGTATAGTTTTATTAGTTATTTTATAGTACATGGGAGTTTTTATATTTTATTTAAATTAAGAGTTAATATTTATTTTATTTCAAGTAACAAACATCGCAAAAAAAATCATTTTCTAACTTAGTATTTTTGTCTGCACTGAAATTAAGTGAATGTATACAAGACCAAATATCTGCCAGTGGCACAAGAAAAATAATCTTCTTTTCACTTTTTTAAATCACCCCATTGGCGGATATTTTTCGTGTTTTAAGCAAAAACTCAATTTAACACTTAATATAAAAAACGTAATAACCCTGGTATATTGGTGTTGACAGGCGACCAGCACTCACTACAGCAGGAACATCGATATAAAGATAGAAGATGATTCAGATGCTGGAGATGGGAAGATTGTGGAAGTTCAAGACTTTAAAGCTGTAAGTAGCACATAATAATAAACATGTGCATCTCATTTCAGAGCTGTTCATAAAATAACTCCATTATTTCCACTCTTGTGCAGGGCATTACAGCAGTCAAGTTTCCTGGAAAAGAGAAGTGTTACATCAAATCACAAGTCAGATCTGAACTTTCTGATGTGAGGAGCAACATGATCACCATTAAAGTCTTTCTGATGCCCACATGCTACATTCTACATATTAGACCGCTTACTAAAAACCCATTAACTATACATTGGCTATTTTGACCATATCTGCATTCCGCTTTGACGAAATATGAATGAAATTGATGATATCTAAAAATAGTCCTGCAGAAGTGAATCTACATGTCCGTCATGTTTCACAAACCTCAGATAAAAGCATCTGCTACATGAATACACATACATAAATGAGACTAAATTGGAAACGTATCTCAAGCTAAATGAAAGGTAATTAGCTGTAATTGTGCCTAGGTATAAACTTTCTCAAGAAATTCCTCAGATTTTTTCCTCTCAAAATGTTTACTTACAGCTCAGTGTGTAATTCCGGCACCATCAGCATCACTAAACTGAATGTCATACCCGTTTCCTGGCCACGCCCCCATCTACTGTCTGTCAAACTGATAGCCCCGCCCCCAAACTCATGTCATTGGTTGAGCTAATGCTCGATGTCAGGATCAATGTGTTAAAAGCCATCTACACTGAAAATGATAAATATAAATACAACGATTAACTTAGTGTCCACACCAACATGCGATAACGTTCTCTTATTAAAAAGCGCGCTGCATTTTGGTCGTCTGCCGCTTTAAATACTAAAGCTCATTAAAGTAGAATTGATTCTGATTGGCTCTCAACTTTTTGTCAT